CCCAATGAGTACCAGATCCCTCGAAAGTATCCAAATTTACGATTCCGCTCTTGTTCCTGTGTTTCCCATCTGTTGGTAAAGTATTGCGCATAAAAATACCCCTGAAATATGGAATACGCATACGCTTTGCCAGATGCTGTAGTTGTACGTTGGTGGTTACACCTTCGGGCATTTTAATTTTGACGTTTTTTTTTTCTCTTTAGAACTCCTTGTCCGCGTTTGTACGGCGCGAGATGTACTCCGCGACCTTCCATAGCACGATTATGCCGTTGCATTTCCTCCAGCTGTTTTCGTGCAGATTTGGCGTCGTTCACGGCCTTAGCCACGCCAGCAGCACCACCGGTTAACGCTCCTATAGCTGATAAGGCGGGAAGGAGAAACGGGAGGATACCGCCACGCTTTGCTATCGGTAGAGATCGCTCCCCCTTGTTCTTCTTACTATGGCTCTTTTTCTTCTTGAACCCCATTCCAAGCTTCGTCTTACCTTTCATCGCAAACAGCTGCAGCAGTCGCCCTTTCGCCGAATGTAGCGTCCTTCGCAGTTATGCGCTGGCGTGCTCGATCAGCTAAAATTCGATCCGCCTCGTGACAATTGGTCAAATCTTTGTTTCGAGAGTACGCAATATCGTGTTCTCTACAAGCTGCATCCAACGAATTTATACCTTGATCGCCGCGTGCTAAACGTTTTTCGGAAATTATGATCTACACAATAATACAGATATCTGAAGCGAACCATTATCCACTCCGGAATATCAAGGAATCGGATAAAATACAATCAAATTTGTGGTTAAATTTCTCGAAACCGCAAAATATAAAAAACTCAAGATTAAGCAGTTTACCCGATATGAACCTGATAGCCTCTACACCGACCTCTACACCGATTAAGACAGTACCAACAATAACAACAACAACAACAACAACAAAACGCTTAGCAAACGAAGATGTTTTTGAAAGTCCAAACAGCTATTTCTCGACATCTGTTCGAAGCCAATTGCAAACGCCGCAAGGCGAAGAAACGGTACATAATCATCTAGGTCCACTGAGTCAAAAATACATCGCACTTGTATTACGCGGCGACATAGACGTTGGTACGGATTACGTGTACGGTCTTTATCTCACCAATGATGGACTGATGCTCGGTAACAAACATGTTGACGTGGACAATGCGGATAACATAATTATCGATGGCATACGATATTCGGAGACACCCGGCCTTTATTAACTGATATTCAAGAAAACTCCAGATAACGACATTTACACTGAGGCTGATGAACGCAAATACATACTGCTCACAACGAGTGCGCATAAGCACAAGCACAATTCGTATGGTCAAATATTAGGTAACAGAGGATACAAGTATAACCATGTAATCAAACCTTTATTGCAAGATAAAAAAGTTGGAAAAGGCATATCGTGTTCCATGAGATTAACCACAAACGACATTGAATACGTTCACTGGAATGATCCCAAGGAACTCGTAGATCGGCTTCGATTGCTCGAGGCTTCGCGTCAAGCTGGTCACAATGCTCACGACAATGAGATGCTATCGATTATCGAGGAACTTCGCGAGGCAGAATTCATTATAAATTAAGCTGCACCTTGGCGATACAGTCAATCGTCATTAAAATGTCAATCAACAAGTTTGGATCATCGATTGGAAGAATGGAATCATACTATCACTGGAACAGAGTAGTCAGAAATTATGTACGCGACAGCGCTCTTTGTGTTGTTGGCACCAATTATGATGCGAAGTCGCGCAGGATTCGACGGGTAGCACCGCCTCTAGAGGATGGCGATGCTATCAACAAGCTGTACTTGCACGAAAACATGGCAGTGGGATATTACCGAATTCCGGAATCTAATGCAGACGCATCAATAGCTGGACATTGAGACTATTTACCAACCGACATACCGATCAACAGACCGGTTAACCGACCGACATACCGGCCAACAGACCGGTCAACCGACCAACCGTAGGGTTGAGCACCGATTTGATGTTTGATAAGACGTGTACGTCAAGTCTTTGCGTCAGTGTCGAGTCATACATGGCTGCAAAGAAAACTCCCAGTATCGAGAAACGGCGTCTTGTGGAAGAATTGCATGCTCCGACGAGAAGAAATTTTCCCCGAAGACGCGTCATAGTACACGAGTACGACGATTTATGGCAAGCGGACGTGGTCGAGATGCGACCTTATGCGCGGTATAACAGAGGCTTCCATTACATACTCACTGTTATCGATGTGCTGAGTAAGCATGCATGGGCCATACCCCTCAAATCCAAGAGTGGAAATGAAGTTTCTACAGCGATCGGAAAGATAATCCAAAACAGTGGAAGGTATTCGAAAAATTTGCAAACCGACAAAGGAAAGGAATTTTACAACGCAAATGTGCAAAAACTTTTGTCAAAATACAACATAAATCATTATTCAACGTATTCAGTGATGAAAGCGTCAGTCGTCAAGCGGTTCAATCGTACGCTCAAAAATGACATGTGGAAACTGTTTACGCTTAATGGAAGTTATAAATGGATCGACTCGCTGCAGCAATTCGTATCAAATTACAATGCACGTAAGCATCGAACTATCGGCATGCGATCAATTGACGTTACACCAAGAAACGCCACGAAGCTCCTAACAACGGTATATAATCACGTAAAGATTGCCGCTCCCGCACGATTCAGAGTGGGAGATGCGGTACGTGTGAGCAAATTCAAAACAATTTTTGAAAAAGGTTACACACCTAATTGGGGTACTGAAATATTTACGATCGCCGAGGTTCATAAAACTAATCCCGCAACGTATCTGCTAAAAGATGTTTATGGAAAACCAATTGCTAGAGGATTCTACGAACACGAGTTGCAACGCGTTGCCGACGCTAATGTGTGTACCTTGTGGAAAAAGTGTTACGTCGGAAAGGGAATAAGGTGTACGTGAAATGGTTAGGATTGAATAGTGCACACAATTAGTTACATTACAATGTTTTTTTTTTTTTATTTACAACTAAATATATATGTACATCTATTAAAATCGAGGTAAAAATGATTTACAAAATACATATACTGATATATCTAAAGCGGTATTTTATAATGACTCCACGGCAATGTATCCGTTGAGTTGGGTACGATATACCGCTTATCGTCGTACGGAAGCAGAGTGATTTTTGATTCCGTCATTATGTATACTTTGTGTAATTTTGATCTTATACATGTCTGATTACGAATCATTTCAATTTCGTTTCGTAGGCACTGCGTGTAGTCATCGAAAGTTATCATCCTGGAAACAACGTTACTTTTTACACCTTTCGCCTTTTTTGTATCTTTTCTACCATCTGCACGCAGTGCATACATTTTCGCTCTGAGTCCAACAAATTCTGTCATTATTGCCCCATTGTTTTCATCTTTCAGCAAACCGGGGACTTTTTTGTTTACAAGCGGTATATCGTAAACGTTCACTACCGGATAATCGCTGGTATCAAATCGATTAATATCGCGTTTTATAGTATCATAAATATTCTCGCACTCGATGTGGTAAATTAAACTATCCGTATCGGTGTACATAACTTTACATTTATCGCCATGTGTGGGTGACATGTAATCGTGATGGAATTCATACAAACAAAGCTTAGATATATCTAGTATACACATACCCACATAGATTGGTTTGTTGAACTTCACCGCAAACTTTCACAGTTCGATGGCGACTAAGTTTTCCGAAAACACGCTACGGCTGTGGACATTTGGTTTTGCGATCATTGCCTCCGCACCATATCTCCCTTCCCATTTTGTTACTAATTTTACATCGACGTGATTGCGTACATTCTCCATAGTTTTGCCAAACACCGCATTGTTCATCAATTTATACAAATTCTTTTCAAAATCGTTTGTAGCGAGAGTTCTAAACTTTGTATTTAATTCGATGTAGTCGCGGAGCCAGGGTGATTGTGCGGATTGGAGGACGCGGTGTATCTTTGTAATACGAATACCATGTCGCGTGCATTGCTGCAGGTTACGATAGTGGATAACGTAGCGCTGCTTATCGTATAGAGTTGCGAGCAGCTTGTCCTCTCTTTTGCCAGGTGGTTTGGCACGTGTGGGACAGAACGGCAGGTCCGCGTGAATGTCGTGCAAGCGTTGCGGATATTCTAGATCAACCTCTAGAATTTAACCCGTGGGCGAATCGGCAGCAGTCGAAGACACGTCAAAGTTTGCAACGTTGTCGACCTATCGAAATTCTGCGTATGGCAATGGTTGGCACATTGCCCACCCATACAGATTATTCACATCAAAGTACATCAAGTACGACGACGCTTTCGATGGATCGTACGACTGCATGTACTTATTATTGGCTATCGCGTATCTACCTGAACATTGACTTAATCCGCCGCGTATACCGCGTTCGATAAACAGGACCATGTCGATATCTGTTAGTAATTCGAAATTAAATTTTGTATGCTTCAGCATGGCATCCCACATAAAACCGGGCAGAGTGTAATAATACGCGGGATCGAGTCCGTAACTTGTTATACAGCTTTCACGAAAATTTTCATGAATATCGGCCAACAGCAAGACATTTGTTTTCAAATACAAATCGCTATACTCGCCCAGCGTTTGAATGGAAAACCGTGTCCACACGTTCTCGGTGTGCGCGTACTCGCTCTCCGATACTGTATCACCCGGTCAAGGAACTGTAAAATGATTCGCGCGATGGCAAACATGATTGTTCCAACTTTTCGGCACAGTCAATGTACTCGTACGGAAAAACACCCTTCCGTGTCTATAATTCGAAATCTTCGATAGACAAATTTTGAAATTCGGTTCGTAAAATTCTTAATTTGCTTTTATCTAAGAAATACGCTGATTTATCGAGACTGGTACTCAAGAATTTGTATGAATCGATGAATCTCAATTTTATACAATTTCGCGACGGTCAATTTGGATCTTCGACACTTTTTGTGAATGAGATGTATTTCTCTTTTGTTATCGGCAATACGCTGATGGCACCCTAGAAGGCTGTAGCTATTTCTTCGATAATAAAATGCGAATCGCAACCGGACAAATTATGATAAACTATGGGAATGCAAAAAGAGTTTTTATAATTTAGACTACAATTGGAATGCGCGGGACCTCTGTACCGACCGGTTAGATGGCAATGATCGCGCACCCTCGTATCGTTTTCTCCCAACGGTTTTTCGCAAATGTGACAATGCGTCGTGTTGCGAAATGTCTCCTGCTGTTCGCTCGTTAAATCATCAATTTGTATGTTATTTGATAAAATTGATTTAAAAAAATGTGCCAAATTCTTTAATTCTTCGACGAACCAGGAAACACAATTCGCATCACGACGACATCGGTATACCGACAAGGACGAATCGTACGCGCATTGAACATAATATGCAATACTAAATACTTTATGATGCTGATACGTGTATTTTCGCGCTCCTCGATCAGTTTTCTCTAGAATGCACTCGAGGTCGGCGTACACCACAAATGGAAGTCGCTCTTTCTGGATGTAGTTGTTGAAGCTGAGCCACTTGCTGTCATCATCTGGTAATACGATTGCGCAATCATTCATCTTCTCGCAATCTACGGTGTGAGCGTCCAGCTTCTCACTGGAACTAAAGTAGTACAAGCATCTGCAACGAAAAAAAGACATATTTTTTTTTTTTTTAAACATAGCATATTTAAAAAGAAAAAGAATTATATACATACCTATCGCAAAAGTATTTTCGATGATTATTTTTACTCAATTGTGAGTTCACGAGGCGCGATAAGTTTTTGATCCACGCGAAATGCCCCACGCCGTTTGCTCCTTCTAAATACAGCAAATTGACATGTCTCTCCATCTTCCGTGTGGCGAGCCGTATCGGTAGAACCTTCTTTTCTTCAGTGATGTAGATGTTGATGGAGATGCTGTTAGCGTGTTCAAACTTTTTAATTTGGTTCAATGTCATTGGAAATTCGATATCCTGGATATTCAACACTGTTGAGTAATGAGGATATGCCGATGTCCGATATACGTGACTTTCGGCTGGATGCAGAGCAGCCACCACTGACCACGCGAAACATGCATTGTCGTTCGAGCATACGTTGATTACAGCTCTCTTTAGTTGTATTTCTCGTGGTAATTGTATGGTACATCCTGCATGCAATGGTATATATTTATTCACGTTAACAATTAAATTGAGTATACGCGACAGCGCCCATCCGCTATCCCGTTCTTGAAATTCTTCCAGCGATGCTAGGATGGGTTCGACGACGCGTTGCTCGTACCACTCTTCGAGATTGATCGCGCCGAAGATTTCACAGTTTTTCGTGCTGATAGTCTTGTTTGAGCGTTTATCACCCGCTACAAACTCTCCATTAAACGCGGTATTCACTTTTAGTGTCTTATGTTTCACCAATGCACCCCATATATGCTCGAGCACAACATCTCTCGCATCCTGAAGAAAGTTACGCGGTTCGATGTAGTGGGAATTTAAAACAACACGTGTTGTTTGTTTATTTCACGCCACAAGAGTCCAGTGCTTGAATGGCCGGCACCTTCGTACACGAAACGTCTGCGTAACGAATACTTTAGACTATCGAGACGCGCGATGCGAGCGATCAACGATTGTTGAACACCGATCGATAATCGAGGGCATTTTGCTCGACTATGTTCTTCCAGCGACTCGAGGCACTCGTTGCATCGTTCTTCCCATGCGAGGTATTCTTCTTGCGAAGTTAATCGATCGGCCTGGTCCCACAATCGACTTTCCATTTCCAAGAGTTCTTCCATGGTTGCACTCATTTCTTCGCTGGGGGGTCACTACAGAACGGTTTGAATGCAGTTTAATCTGCAGCACAATTTTTATACTCTTGGTCACGTGATTTTGTCACATGATTTTGTCTCATGATATGCTCCTACTATGATGTCACTGCCTGCAGATTTTCATAATCCCCTCATATTCCGTATCGCTGTTTTCGTATGTTTTCCGGAGAAAGTATATATATATGAAGAAGTTTAATACAAATTACTTTTTGAGTTGATACTAATTGATTATAAAAACTGATACCTACATATCCTGAAAAATCTATTATTAATGTTTCCTATTTCCCATAAATATTTTAAAAGAAGCGTTTAAAAAATATTCGGATAATGTGAAATTTATGTTTAGAAGATGCGTATTGAATATTCGGGCAATGTTGAATAAATCTTGAAAATTAAGAGATTCAAAAAAAAATTAAATCAATTTTATATTGTGTTTCATTTATTCATAGATTTTACTTTTATTACTTTATTTCTTGTGATTGAATTAAATTGAAACAAGTTATTTTAATTTTTTTTATCTCGGTGGGAATTTGAATATCAGATGAATATATATTTTATATTCGGGAAAAAATATATTGTTGCGAATATTAAATAAATATGTATTTTATATTCGGGAAATAATATTTTGTTATGAATATCAAATAAATATGTATTTTACATTTGGGAAAAAATATTACATTCTAAATATTGAATAGATATTCATTTTATACTTAAAAAAAAGGATTTTTTTTTCTAAATCTAGAATAAACATCACATGTGTATTTAAATATTAAAATGAGATTCAATCTCTTTTATTGGATGAATATGTATTCAATATTTTGTGCTACTAGGGTATGTAAACCTGACACCCAACTGCCAAAAAATTAACTTTTTTTTTACGGAAAATGATAGTGTTTCGTTTCGATTTTAGTATTAGGTTGTTACAATTTTTTTTTTACTTATCAATTGATGGAACTACAAACGAAATACTATCATTTTCCGTAAAAAAAGTTAATTTTTTAAGTCAGGTTCCACGTTCACATAGCTTACAAGGAGACATCGCGTAGTGTCCCCCGAATTATTTAATCAAATCTTTTTCATATGTAAAGAAGGGTATGTAGAACAATCTCTGCAAGTGAGAAGACGCGACTCTCTTTCGTTTTCGAGAAATAAATTTTTAAAAATAGCTAAATTTCGATTGTCGAGTGTCAACCGATTATAAGAGCCGGAGATATTATAGAAGCAGTGTGGTACAGTCGATAGAGTGCCATGTTGCGAAGACGATCATCTTTGCGCTGGAAGCGGTTACGACCCCGGTCACTTATTTTTTTTTTTACTTTATCTTCCGTTTGTACCATGTTTTGTTATGGAATCTACGTTTTTATATATTGAGATTATTTGTATACAATATTGTGCAATTTTTATGTTTTTTATCGCTTTGAAAAAGAAGTCATGATGCGAAAGGAGTTTCTACAATCTTTTATCAAAATTTACGTCCTTATAGTTTGTAAATAACAATTTAATTATATTAAACAAACATTGCACAACTTCTTTCTTCTGTTCTTCTCCTTTTCTTTCTTTCTTTTTTTTCTTCCTTTTTTTTCTGACTTCTTTTTCAATTTGTGTCAGGTTTACATACCCTAGTAGCACAAAATATTGAATACATATTCATCCAATAAAAGAGATTGAATCTCATTTTAATATTTAAATACACATGTGATGTTTATTCTAGATTTAGAAAAAAAAATCCTTTTTTTTAAGTATAAAATGAATATCTATTCAATATTTAGAATGTAATATTTTTTCCCAAATGTAAAATACATATTTATTTGATATTCATAACAAAATATTATTTCCCGAATATAAAATACATATTTATTTAATATTCGCAACAATATATTTTTTCCCGAATATAAAATATATATTCATCTGATATTCAAATTCCCACCGAGATAAAAAAAATTAAAATAACTTGTTTCAATTTAATTCAATCACAAGAAATAAAGTAATAAAAGTAAAATCTATGAATAAATGAAACACAATATAAAATTGATTTAATTTTTTTTTGAATCTCTTAATTTTCAAGATTTATTCAACATTGCCCGAATATTCAATACGCATCTTCTAAACATAAATTTCACATTATCCGAATATTTTTTAAACGCTTCTTTTAAAATATTTATGGGAAATAGGAAACATTAATAATAGATTTTTCAGGATATGTAGGTATCAGTTTTTATAATCAATTAGTATCAACTCAAAAAGTAATTTGTATTAAACTTCTTATATGTATATATTTAATGCATCTCCAAGGGGTTCGCATGGCCCCCTTCCATTTACATTTTCCTTACTTATAATAAACTTACTTTAACCTTATTCGTAACTTACTCTATCCTAAACCTATCCTTATCCTACACTTAATCTCTAAAAAAAAAAACAAAACAAAACAAAAGACTCAAGACAACGCAAGAGAGAGAGTGGACCTACATCCATTCTTATCCTCTCTAACTTTTTCATCCACCATTCTCCCCTCCCCGACTCGCACAAAATTTCCTTAGTCCTTTCCCCTATCCCTCTCTCTTTTTCCTCCCCCTGTTCTCCCGCACCGCTCCAATACATGCTCCCACGTCTCCTCTTCCCCCCCGCACACTCTACAAACCCTCTCCTCCTCCTCCATCCAATACCTCGCCTCTCTCATTCCCCCCCCCCCCCATCCTGTATCTCATGACCCTTTTCCATCTCCCCTCTCCTTAAATACTCCGGGATCCCTTCAACCCTAATCTCCCTATACCACCTGTTATACCTTGATTCCCCCGCCTTTGCGCCTCTCTCCCTGCTCTGTTCTTCCTTATCTACCCTTTCCACTTCCTTGTACTCAATCCCTCCCGCCTCTCTAATCCTTTCCATCTCTTCCCCTGTCCATCCTCTGTTCACAAAGAACCTCTCCCTGTCTTCTTCCCACCTCCCCCTTCTTCCCCTTCTCTTCCTCAACTCCTCCCAACATAATCTTGCCGACTTATTGCCCCCTCCCCTTCTCAACCTCTCCTCATAATTCCATCCCCTCTTAGCTGTCCTCACCCTCATCTTGTCCCTCTTTAACTCCTCCCTAATCATATATCCCGGCGTCCTCCATTCCACCCCCATTACCCACTTTATATACCTCTCCTCTAGCGCCTCCAGCTTCCTCCACTCCTTCCACCCCCAAGTCTCCGCTTCGTAACTCACAACTGTCCATACTAGCCTATCAAATAGCCACAACCTCCTTTCCCACTTCCCTCTGAACACCCTCTGCCCTATCCCCCACACCTGTTTCATCATCCCCGCCGCTTTCGCAATCCTTTCCCTTACTTGCTCCTCTTGTCCTCCATTCCTTTCAAATATACATCTTAAATACTTGAACTCCTTCACTTCTTCCACCTCCTTCCTTCACCATTTCCACTTAAACATCTTTAATCTCCCCCCTCCTTTTCTAAACCTCATTATCTTCGTCTTCCCCACATTCACTGTTAGCCCCTTGCCCTCAAAATACCCCTCCAACTCTGCCATCACCACCCTCATCTCTTCTTATTTCTCCGTAACCACCACTATGTCATCTGCATACGCTAGCACCCTAACCCTCTCTCTCCCCACCCTGATTCCTCCTGCACCAATCCTCCTCATCTTATCCTCCAAATCCGATAACAAGATATTGAATAAGATCGGGCTTAACGGGCACCCTTGTCTCAGCCGCTTTGCCGTCCAGAACCCGCTACCCAACTTCCCCCCACCCTTACCTTACTTTCCGTCACCCGATATATCTCCTCTACCCTCTCCGCCAACCCCTCCCCTATTCCCCTGTCCCTCATCGTTCTCCACAACACCTCCCTATCCACCGTGTCGAAGGCCGCCTTCAGGTCTAGAAATAGCGCTACTACCTTTCCTCTCTCCCTCGTCAATGCCCTGTCTACCAGATAGTTTAACACATGTATGTTCTCTATCGTTCCCTTCCCTTTGATCCGAGTCCACCTTATCTTCTACCACCAACCTGGAACATGCCCTCCTGGTTTCGTCATCCACCATCACCAGGTCAATTACCGAATCTCCCCTCCCTCCCGTGTATGTATACTCCCCTATTTCGTCTCTCTCTATGTCCCCGTTTAAAATTCCCCACCCACATTCCTCAATTACCCCTACCAATCTTCTACCCACCCCATTCACCTTTTTATCCCTCGATCTTCTCCCTCCCCCTATCTTTTCCTCCTCATCATCCCATGCTCCCCCTCCCCTCTCTCCTACTCTCGCGTTCATATCTCCTCTTATTATTATCCTTCCCCCCCGCTCTCCTCCATCCATTTTTTAATTCTTTCTAACTTTCTTTCTATATTCTGATTTATATATACTCCCACCACTCTCCACTTCTTCCCTTCTACTTCAAATCTGCTTGTTATAATCCCTTCTTTCTCTCTCAAATCCTCTCTTTCCTCTCCCTTATTCCCCCTAAACTCCTTCCTTATCCCCTAACACCATCCCTCTAATCGCCCTCCCTTTCCTATTTACCCTCCTCGCTGGCTGGTGTCACCACCAACCCCTCGGCAATCTCTTACTTATCTTCCCCTAACTTTTTTCCTCCGTCCAAGTTTCCATCCACACCATTATATCCCATTCCTCTAGTCCCTGCCAAAATTCTTTGTCCTTGTTACTCAATACCGCCACGTTCCAGAATGCGATTTTGCAACCCCTCCCCCTCTCCCCTCCTCCGCGCCATCCTTTTTTCGTTCCCTCCTACCCTTACCCATTATCCTCTCCCTTCCCCTTCCTCCCTCCTCTCCCCGTTTCCCTTCCCCTTAATCCCTTCCACCTCCCTGCCTTCTCTTCCATGCCCTCCCCACTCCTTTAACCTTTCCTCCTCCTCACTCCACCTCCACCATGTGTTCCCTATACATATTTTCCCATATCCTACTATCGCCTTTCCACCCGCTCTTCTTTCCTGCTCTGCAATCTCCCTCAATTTCCGCTGTATTCTCCTCTCCTTCTGCGTAAGGTTCTCCTCTATTCTTTCTCCTCCTCTCCCTAAATCCCTCTTCTTCCTAAAAACCTCCTTTTTCATCATTTCATTTTGTAGCCTTGGCACCACCATTCCCTTTCCACTCTCCCCAATCTGCCCAACCTGCCTTGCGCTTTCCACCTCCACTTCTACCCCTATTCTCTTCAACACCTCCTTTACCGCTTCTATCTCTTTCCCCCTATCCGTTCTTATCCCCCTAATTATTATATTTTTCCTCCTCTCGGCCCTGCCTGCCATTTCCACTCTTCTCTCTAGCTCTTTCAGCTTTTCCTTCCATTCCCTCTCCCCCTCGCCCCTTTCCTCTCTTCTGTCTCTCCCCCCTATCTCCCTTACCCACTCTTCCAGCTCCTCTATTTTTTCCCTTAGTTCCTCCTTCTCTGCCCTCCACTCCTCGTCTCTCCTCCTCATCTCCTCCCTCAGTTCCCGAATGGATCCCTCTATTAGCTCTTTTATATCTCCCATCTGCCCCCTCGTTGTCCTCTCCGAAGTCTCCCCCATCTCTCGTACCGCCTCCCTCGTCTCCTCTATCCTTCCCTCAAATTTCTCCCCCATCTCTTTCATCTCCCCCCTCAACTCCGTCATGATCCTTATCTACTTTTCTATTCCCATTCTATCCACTCTTTCATCCTTCCTGCCTGGCGACCTTGGAGTCAGCCCAATTTTTTGAAATATGTCCCTTCCTCCTCCCCCCGATGCTTCCCCCTCTTTACCCTCCCTTTCCCCCCTTTAAAGAAGTCCTCCAGGTCCTTCTTCCTTCCCTCGCTCCCTTCTCTTCCTCTTACCCCTTTCACTACCTTCTCCCCGCCTCCTCCCTTTGCACTCCTTGTCTCTAGCCCCAGCCCTCTGCTCCCCCCTTTTTCTCTCCTTTTATATCCCTCACTTCTTCCTCCGCTCCTAACCTGCTCTCTATCACCTGCTTCCCGCGCCCTACTTTACCGGCTCCTTCTTATCGACTCTTTTCTTCCCGTCCTTTTCGCTACGTGCCTCTCTTTCCTACTCTGTCGTCTTCCCGCCTAAATCTCTTTCTTCCCCTCACCCTACCTCTTCCTCCTGACCGTACCGGCCACTTCCCTTCTTCATCTTTACCAGCCCTTTCTTCTCTTAACTCCTTCCACCTTTTCCTCTCTTTCCCTTTATTCCCCTTGCTTCTCCGCGTCTTTCCTTCGTCTCCCTTGCTATCTCAAATCGTACCTCTAATCTTCCTAACCTCACTTTTCTCTCACACTATCATTCTCTTCCTGACACTTTCCTGCGACTCCCTTCACTCTCCCTTCACACACTCTCCATCCGCCCTACACTCTTTCCCCTTACACCCACTATCGCACCTCCTTTCTCACTTCCTTCACCCCAACTTCTTCACTTTTCCTTGCCCACACCTTTTCTACATTCACTCGCTAAAACCACCGGAAATGGAAGCCGTGTTAAACTTCTTTATTTTTATAAATAAAATCAGGGTGTACAGGGTATATAAAAATTATTGGTCACCGTCCTCAAAATCCATTATGACCTCAAAATTTAAGGTCAAAGTTTTTTTTAATTTTAAAAAATTCTACTCGAGGAGTAGGTAAACAGCTTCAAAGGGGCCACGTGTCGGAGATGAACCGTTGTCGCGTAAAAAATTGTTAAAGTTTTCCAAATTCTCGATAGCGCGGAGCAACTCACGAGGCTCCGCAGCGGCGCCGAGGGTCCCCCAACCTAGCTCCTATTTGTATATGCACGCGTGATGGTGAAGTGTGACCGCACTACACAAACATAATACGCAACGTGGAACAGAATACTACTACTTCCTACGCTGAGCATTCAGAATCACTCAAGGAAGAAGTATACAGTATATGTTGTTGAGAAGAAATTATACTGTATGGCAATAACGAGCAGCTCCATCTAGTTTTCCTCCGCTACCGCATATTTAATGGTAACACTATTTCTATGCAGAGAGTAGCTGCTGTAATACCGACCTTCCGAATTGGAGAGGTCACGTGCCGTGTCTACCCCCTTAAGCCACTTTACTATTTTTTCGGGACACTTCAATTTCATGAGTATCTCTATCAATTTCTTGAAGTCGACATTGTCGTACAGTCCTTTGATATCCACGAACACTGTTGCCGAGTCCAGATTTTTCATTCGGTTGTACTTGATTTCTGTTATTAATCTATTCAAGTTATCCAGAGTCGACCTCTTATTTCTGGAACCCGACTGCGTGTCATCGATTATATTATTAGTTTCCGCCTACATTAACAACCTTCTGTTAATTATTTTCTCCAAAATCTTACTGCGCACGAGGTAAGTGTGATGAGTCTCAATGCAGCTTTATTCGGTTTATCCAGGAAACATATTCGGCCTTCTCTCTATTCCTGGGGAATTTCTTCTCTGTTCCAGCTCTCTTTTATCAATTCACAATACACGTTCCTCATGAACCCTGGTAATTCGTTTATGATCTTGTAATCCACCCCGTCGTTTCCTGGTGCCGATCTTTTGCCTTTTTGTGATGCGATTGTTAACATTATTTCCGTGTTTTCTATCTTTTTGGATCATATAGATTCCCTTCCTTCATTGTACTCTTTGATTTCTGTTTCTATTCCTATGAATGGATTGTTTAGTTCATAATTTTTCCTTTTAATTTCTTCCATTTCTTTTTTCTCTAATTCTTTCCTAGTTTTGTTATTCATAGCTGATTTTTTCTTGGTGTAGTAATTTTTTACACTCCTTACCTTTTGCCAGATCTTGCCTATGTCGTTTTCTTTGGAAATTTGATCCGTGAATTCTTCCCATGCTTTTTCTTTCTTTTCTCTTCTCATTTTGTTCCATCTCTTTCTATTTTGTTCCATGATAATATGGTCTTCCATATTCCCTGCATTCCATAGCCTCTTACTACTTTGTATCTACGCTTCCCAAGCAACTCTGCATTCTTCGTCCCACCCGAATTTTTTATTGTTCGCATGGTTCGGTTTCCTCTCATTATGATTCCTTACTTTTCGGTTATTATTCTGTAGTATGTTGTCTCGATTGTTTACCTGTCTATTACTTGTCCTACTTTCCTTTCCCTTAACTAGTATAAATACTTCCTTGATATTGCTTACCCATACCTTATATTTGTTTCCTATATCCTCAGCTTTCTTGAATTCTTCCATTATTTTATCCTTTTTCCTTTCTAATTCTTCCCTTATATTATCCCAATTCACATTTTCTTTTTTATCATACAGTCTGCCAGATTTTCTCGCAAATTTGCTGCGATAGTTATCTAAACCTATACTATCATTTGCGTATAATATTAAGTTAATTATCTGATGGTCAGATCCTAGGTTAATGTTAGACTCAGAGTATGTTAAGTTACCTAACATATATGGGTGTGTAATGATAAGGTCAATCCTAGTTATTGTTTCCGTGTTAACTATTTCCATTTCTATTTCTTCTAATACTATAGCCAATGCACTTCCTGACGTGTTTTCCCTCTTACAGTTCCAACTCGTGTGCTTTGCATTTAGATCTCCTATTATTACAGTGTTATCCTTAATATTCATTTTATCAAACAAGTATTTCCATTTTTCCTTGGTGAAATTGCTACCTGGATTTCTATATAGAAATATTATATTATAAACCGCCTCGTTATCTTCATTCATAATATCTACGTTCATGAATTCGAATTTTCTCGGCTCGTATTCCTCATTTACCACTTTAATATTCAATTCTTCTCTATATAGTATAATCATACCCGTACCTGACGTTCCGTTTCTTCTTTTCCCTTCGAATTCCGGAATATTATTATATACTACTAAGTATCCCTTAATATTCTTTTCTTGTATTTTTTCTACCCATGATTCGCATACAAACATCACATCATATTCGTCGATACAATTTAATAAGTTTATTGTTTTATTCATAATGCTATTCGCGTTCCAAAAGCCTATCTTTACATAATTCGACATAATCTGAAAATAATTTATTATTAAATTATATTTTAGATGTATACTTTAATAATAAACTGTATAAGTTATCTGAATTATTTCACCTATTAGTTTCTTATGTCCCTACTGTGTCGTAAACAGTCCTCAAGTTTAACTGATTTTACCTGTAACTGACTTTTAAATTATTTTTTATTTTACTCAGGCAACCGCTTACCTTTCTCTTCCCTGTTGCGGAGTTCCCCATTCTTCTCCGTCTTCCGGGTACTCGTTATTTTCCATTTCCTTGTTTTCTTTCGCTTGTCCCTCTGATGGGCTTCTTTCTTCTACCGTGCTGATTTCTATCACCTCTACCGTGGCCCCAATGGATTCGAACTTCAGTAGATCCTCCATATTCTCATCGTGTATGAGCATCGTCTCCTCTTCTTCTTCTTTTTTATCGGTTATCGATGTTTCACCTTCCCACTCTTCGTCCGACATCATATTTGTTCTGATGTTCGATTCTTGTTCTTTTCCTTCTTGTGCATCCCTTGCATCTCTTTCTGATCCCAAACTGCCTATGATCTGGGCTGGTTTTAGTTCATCTATTTCCTTTGCGATCTTTGTCGCCTTCTTCTTTTCTTCCTCGTCTCTCCCCGTATCCCTAGGTATCACGTTCGGAAACCTCGGCCTTCTGCTATATGTCCTTCCAAATCTTTTCTCGTTCTTAAAAGTTGACCTTATCATCCCATGATTTTTTCTTACTAGTGCTTTTCTGTTATTCTCGACCTCCTTAATTGGGGCGTATTTAGGCAATTCTTTCCTCACTCTATCCTCTCTTTCCCATGCTTTTCTACCTTCCATATACTCTCTTTTTGCTCTTGCTGGTTTATAATCCGAGTCGTCCAAATCTATTCTCCTTGGATGGTATATTTTTTTATTTCTATTAATTCTATTTATAATGATGCCCTCCATGTTGAAGTTTGTGATCCAGCTTATGACTGCCTCGATGTCATCTTCTGAGAATTCTCTTTTTGGTTTTTGTGTTTTTTTGTTTATTTGGTAGGTATGATCCTAGTATCTTGTTCCCGTCTCTAAGTTTTTCGCCTCCCAGTTACCTGGCTCATAACCCTCATTTTCGTCGTTGAGAACATTGTATCTATTCTTATTTACAAACGTTACCTCCTTTTCTTTGATTTTCTTTTCCCAAGGGTTTTTCTTAATGGGACACGGCCTGTCCTCTCACGTTGCCTCTCTGTACATTCTCCTGTTAGGTAAGCTTGGGAAGTTTCTCTCTTCTCTTGCTTCGCTGAAGGCTATGTTTTTATGAACCATCAATTTATTTGTGGCGCTTTCCATCTGCCAGTGGAGACACATTCTGCTCAATGATCCATGGCTTTCGCCGCAATTCACACATTTTGGCACACCGTTGTACCTCCCGTGGTAATTCTCCCCACAGATGAAGCACTTTTTGTCCTCCGCTCTGTATATATTTTTAAAGTGGTCATACTTTAAGCACTTGAAACATTGTTTCACTCCTTTGACATATGGATCGATGTTGATGTTGAGCGCACCCTCGTAGAGACTTATTCTGGTAGGTAACGTATCACCTGCAAACTTCACTAGCACTAACATCGACTCTTTATAGTCTATTGCCTTTTCAGTTTTTATACGTTTTTTCAGCCTTTCCGCACTGATGATACCTTGACCCTCTTCCGCTAGTTCTATTAATTCCTTGGGTGAGTACTCCCACTCTCTGCAAACCCCCCACCTTCCGGTTGCTCTTCGCGGGATTTTGTACACACAAGTCTTTTCTTCTTTTTCTTTGATTTTTCTATATGTTCCATACCTTTATACGCGTCTCTAAACGTAACCTCAGCGATTCTTTTGTTCACTATCCTAATACTTTTAATATACCCGTGAAACTCCTGTAATATTCGGAATATACGTATATAATTTACTTTTTTCTTGATCGAAGAATTCTTATAGTCTAAAACTGCCTCGAAAAAGTTTAAGTGCGTGTCTAAATTATTTACGTAATTCTGCGCATTGCTATTGTTTTTCGTAAATTCTATGATTGGTAATTTTTTCCCCATAAATACCTATTTCTCGCGCCAGCGAGACACAGCAACCCTTAAGGAAATTTATTACCCTCTTAAAGAAGTCGCCGGAAACGCGAACCGAGGTACAGCGCGAGTCTGTTATTTTCAAGGATCTTACGAGCTGGAACAAAAGCTAACTCGACTCAAATTCTAAAGAAATGCATTCCAACGGAAACGGCGATTCGACACGGCCTATAATGAATCTATTAAGTATTTTCAGCGAACGTTCCCTTTTCTCTCCTGACTTTCGACTTTCCCACGCTTGATCACCCACGTTGAATGTTTTAACAATGTACGTGGCAGTTCGTTGATTCAATGCGTTAATCCATTTGAATTCCGCTCCTAATTTGAATATAAATATATACTACATGCGGTAGTGTTAAAGCTATTCCGCATTGTGGCGCTACATGCCATGAAGCTGTAGGGACCTACATATAGTCATAGGTTCAAGCAGCGTTACCAATCTAAGCTAGAGAATTTAGCATAAAGAGGTTTTCGTCGTTTTTGAATAAGAGACGCAGCAAAGAGAGTTTTTAGAGAAGTTCGTTAGCGTGGTTAGCGTCGCGACACGTGCTCGTCTGATTAAGAGAAAATAAAGAAAAGAAAATCCAAAAAGCTGTGTTCTATATACGAGTACGAGATTACCTTCCCCTGGCAAAAGTAATTGTTCCATAAAAGTTTAGGCGTAGAAATACGCTACAAAGCTAAGTTCAGGTGATAGCGTAACAGTCTCTTCTCTGAACATTATGCCACTAGGCACGTCGACCAGCCTGGGGAATTTTTTTTCCCCCAGGCGGCCTTCCTTCTCAATATCTACCATTCCCCTCTCCATAGTTGTATACTCCCTGGAGGAAGGTTTCCTTCGCTAGGGAGACTGATTTATCTTCTTTCCTCCCTCCTCTTCGATCTTCCTTTCTTCTCTCCCTTTTCACTCGCTTTTCCGGCACTCGCGGGTTCACCGATAGCCCAAATTTCACTCCCACTATCCTCGGCAAAAGTCCAAAATCACAGCGCTCTCTCTATGCCCTCCCACCGGCCTAGCGTCGCTCGCGCCACTCGCAACTCATATTTGAATGCCCAAACTCGGCTCTTTCCTCACATTCCCTCCTTTATCTCTAAATTCTCTAAAATTTATCCTATTTATCTCATTTGATAAAGCTATTGCAGTAATATTATCAGATAAAAGTATAACATTTATATCGAGAAAACAACTTAAACATTAATGTTATTTCTCTTAAATACATTATTCCTCTTAAGTTCATCTCTTGAAATCAGTTGAGATCTAGATTTCTCTTAGGCTCTATTCTCTTAATTGCGTTTATCTGTGAACAAACAGAACATAACAATACAAATTAATATATATATAATTTTACGAAATATATCTCTAAATTCTCTAAAATTAATTATAATTTAACACCTTATCTTTTATATATTTATGTGCGTCTAATGGCAATGGTTTCGTCATTATATCTGCTAAATTTTCTTTAGTTGCAATCCAACTGACTTTAATTTTTCGTTCATCAACACATTGTTTAACAAAATCTCTATGAGTATCAGCCATATGCTTTCGACTACCAGTTTTCTCTCTGTCTAGAAGCCTCTGATTATTGTCCTCTAAATTTTCATCAAATGTTTAAAGTTTGTGACTTCCGTCCTTCTTTGTGCAGTCACCAGCTGATCTGTCGTCACACCAAACTGTGACTGGAAAAAGATTTTTTCCAATGACATATTTGATTGACTTATTCAACGAAATCAACTCTTGACATGCATCACTCATTGCCAAGTATTCAGCTTGACAGGTTGAGAGAGTCACATATGATTGCTTATGACTTCTCCAAGCTATAACATCTCCAAGAAGATGTTATAGCTGAGTAGATGTTGAATCATGACAATCTCTAAAGCTAGTGCTTCATCAGTTAGTGCTTCTACACTGCTTCAAACAATTAGCGGGACACTTTTCCAAACCGTCGTAACTATGGGAGTTTTCAACCGATTGAAATGAAACTGCGTGAAGAGTACTTTTGAAGTGTCCCCTAGGCGTGTGTAAAGTTGCATTGGCAAGGGTTGACGTGAAGGGGTTTATTCACCCTTTAAAGGGGAGGGTGTAGAAAAACGCCTCTTTGAAACAGGCTAGGGATGACGGAAGGGGTTGAAAAATTCAAAAAAACTTTTGGGGCGACTCTCCTTGATGCCCTCTACAAAATTCACCCCTTGAAATCCCTCTCGGACAAACCCACCCACTCCCCCCCACAACCTCCCACCCTTGCAAAGTAACGTGAAATCGCTTTATTAGGTGTTCGTCAACTCCTGTTATAGCCGCAGATACTTCCGGGTTATGGAAAAAACGCCGAGCCGTATTGCTGTTATTCGAACTTCCGTATCCAGACTTTGGACGATCCACGACTAGCCCCAATTGTGAGCGAAAACTTTTTTGTATAATGGCTTTACGGTTTTTCATTACTTCTTTTTCTTTTCTCGTCCGTATCTGCTATTTCTTTATGTCGAGCCTATATGACAAATGCAAACAGCATTTAAAAAAGCGAATCCACGCATGTAACATGGAGAGTCCAAAACGCAAATGGCCTTCTTCTTTTTGTAACATCATGTCAATGTTATTGAAGTCTTTTGATATCGCTCCACATAAATAACAACGCTGTGTAGATGATGTGGATGATGCAGCATTGCAAACTTTACCATCAATCATCGTCATTGCCAATTTATATGAAATAGAAATTTCTTTTCCATCTACGACTGTAATGAAGGGAACAAGTGACTTTATTTGCTCCTCAATATATTCTATTTTACGTACAGTTGCGTCTATATTTTCGTGCAGGAACTCGATTTTAATCGGTCTGCAAAATCGTAGAGTTGAAGGTCGTGGATTTTTCCAAACTAAAATTTCTGGCTTAATTGACTGGTTATTTGATAATAGCTGCAGTGGCACGAGTGACGTTAGGAAGATGTCACAATCAAATTTACTTTCATTGGTAAATTTTTGCTTATTGTTGCATACTTTTACTTCTGAAATTTTTTAAAAGATACAAACAATCGGATTATCACTCGCCAAATTAATATTGAGTGATTGATTCAAATGGATCGAATTTACGGAGTGCGTGCGTTTCGTCTTGGAATTGTCAGTAGACTCATCGGTAGGGCTGTATCTGACAATTCCTGCCCTAGACGCGTCGTTTTCTTGATGTATGAATTTCGAAATCGTGACGATTGGTTGAGCCTCGATATTACGACTCTTTTTCGACCAACGCAAGTCGAGAACGATAAATAATTGGTTGAGTTCCGCGTTGAACTCTATTCGACCAATCATTAGTAATTCGATACATCAATTGGCTGAATCCAAAATGTGCGAGAGTCGTCGAAAGATTTTCGGGACTGCACTCGACGCACAAGACAACCGCGAAGCGGTAGAAGGATTCGGAATCAGGCAGATTAAAAGTGCGACAAAATTGATTATGATCGATCCTCGTTAGCAGGTGGTTTATTTGCAGGCGATACAATTGGCCGACTGACCTTTTTCGGTTTCGGAACGTGGCGACGATAAGCCGTTAGCACACAAAAACGGAGTACCGAGAGTGGGGGTCCGTGAGGCGCGCACAAAGCCAGACGTGCGACAAACACCGTCGATCGGAAAAAAATTCCAAACGGCCGAAACACAAAGATTATTCGGCACTATTCGACTGATTGATTATGGAAAACGAAGATGGTTGACGAAGTCTCGATGATCGACCTCAGTCAATCAATCTTACGTTGAATGCTGTACAATCAGAATAAGCCGAATATCAAGGATTCTAACGACCAATTGATACGTGATTTTAATTCAGCACCGTGTCTGATATCGCGTCCGTTTACCTTAACACGAAAACTTTTTGATCAGAACTGTGTCTGATGAGGTCGATCGTTTTCGGTCTAAAGTCTTTGAGAAACTGAACAACTGCAGCTCGATTCGATTATTTCGTTGACCCCTCTTGAGAAAAGAGGAGGAAATCGAGTGAATTGCATTCAAGTATGCCGGGAACCCTGTCAATGGGTTAAGACAAATGAATTCAACATGAGTGAAACGAGAAATATATTAATTCTGTCTTTGTCTGGTTAGCCGTGTCAACGTCCAATCGATATATTGATTTTTCGGAACAGCTGATTCGTCGTTATTTGGTTAACGACAGACTCTCGAAAGATCAAGACGGTTGAACGACTCTGTGGGAAACAGAACATACTCCCCCCGTTGAGAGATTTAATCGATCGACATAGTTAAAAAACGAATGAATAATTGTCACCTGTTTGTTGTTAATGGTCAATTTTCTACAGGAAGTGGCGCCAAGAGCTTCACATTCCGCCTATAGATGCCACCATTTGCTGTTCGTATAGTGATTGCTTGAACGACACCGTCGTTGCCAGGGTGTACTCTTTCGACACGTCCGAGATGTCATTGTAGTGGTGGTAGATGATCGTCTTTTAGCACGACGATAGTGCCCTCCATGATGTTATGTGAACCCTTGGTCCATTTATGGCGAACATTCAGATGATTGATATATTCCTTGTGCCATCGGGACCAAAAGTCTTGTTTCACTTTTTGTATATGTTGCCACTTTGACAACTTGTTGGATAGAGACGATCGAAAATCGGGTTCTGATAAGCTCGTAAGGGAATTGCCAAACAAAAAATGACCAGGTGTTAACGCGATTGGATCGTTAGCACCAGATGAACGCTGAACCCGTGACGCCAAATGAAATTATTTATGAAAAATTGCGGTTGTTGTCCACGTGAAAGTACGTCCGCAGGATTGTCTTGAGATCTGACGTGACGCCATGTAGATGTTTCAATTTTTGATTGAATTTCGGCTACGCGATTAGCCACGAAAGTTTTTAAAACGGGTGGTTCTTTTTTCAACCAGTTTAGAACAATGGTAGAATCACTCCAAAAAATTACACTTTGAATTTCGCTTGATAACGAAATCCTTCCAAATCCCATGTTTATTCATTGATCGT